AGACTTTGACTAGTATAAAGTTAATCTGGTCCTCACAAATTAAATATGTGGCTTAAGTGTCCATCAGACTTAATATATTAGCTGGTGTGTTATGCAGCCTGCAAGAAGCCCTCTCTTGCTCCTTTCCTGGTAGATCCCTTAAAGTTCATATTGCCAACTGCTGTTGGATTTTGCTTTGTTCTGAGGCAGGGTCTCAAGTAGCCCAAGCTGGCCTTTTGCTCCCTATGTTGCTGGCGATGACTTTAACTTCTGATCATCCTGCCCACACCTCCTGTGCGAATAGGTTCCTGTCACCACAACTGTACATGTCATGCTAGGGATTGAACCTAAGACTTCCCTGCATGCTAGGCAAGCACTCAGTCAACTCAGGCTCCAGCTTCAACCCATGAAGCTGAAGTTTTAACTGGATGGCTGAGATATGTTCTCTCTGTAAACAGGCTGCAACATGAGGGCCAGAGAGGCTGGTCATCTGGGACTCTGGAGTAAACCCAGTTTTATAGTACAGTTACAGGAAGCTTGTTCATCCAGACTGGCTGTTTGTGCGTGGTTCAGCACGACGTACGGCAGGGCCATAGAGTGAGTGGGATCCATGTCATGTTGTATTTCATGTCAGCACTTAATCACTACAATTGGAACAGCTTTCTCAAGCCCAACCTAAAAAATCCTATCTTACATACTGGTTTTTGCTGTAGCCCAAGCCATTTACCGTCACTTTAAATTAAAGGAATTTGCTATTATTCCCTTCTTTAAAAGCATTTTATGAGAAGTTGGAAAGTAAACTAAGGAAGCGTTGCTTAGGAAATATCTTGTGAATAAAGAATTTTCCTTGAGATATTTAAGCCGTTAAGAAAATACTATAAAAATTTTAAGCTTGGTCCCCAGGACCAGCAGGTGTCCTCTGGTCATGGTGTTCCCATACTTCTGTGTGGATCCAAAACACACACACACACACACACACACACACACACTACACATACACACACACACACACACACACACACACACACCACTTGAACACAGTTGATGCTAAGCTGTCTGATGTTAGGATCCATGGGATTTCTGGAAACTTCCTGATTTTCTTGAGTAGAGACAACTGTTGGGATTGCTAGTGTCTTTCCCTGAGTTCCTGCAGAAGTATCCTAACTCTAAGTCCCTCTTGAGTACATCTGCACATCGGAGAGCCTTGGGTTCCAATATCTTGGGATCACATGTAACCCCTTGGTTGTTCTGCTTCTCTGGGAGCTCAGGCTCGCAGGCAGATGTTCTGCAGGTGCCTCCCACTGCCACGACACCACAATCCCCTTTCTTTTCTTGCTTTTTTTTTCCACCTACTTTTCCATGCTGTAGCTGCTCTACAATGGGGTTAATGCTACATCCAACACAGAGGTAACAAAATGGATTGATGCAGCATGACTGGAGCCCAGCATCTCCGGTAGATGGGAAGATGGAGGGTGAAATCTCAGTTTTTCTGTTTTGTTGTTTTGATGGGTAAGTGTCCCAAGGAGGACTGCCCAGGCTCCCTGAGGCACTGTTCCTGTGTTCAGGGTGAAGTCCGAGCAGCAGGAGGTTCCTTCCAAGCTATGTTGACCTTCAGGAAAGGAGCTACTCCTTTGACCTGTTCTCTTCCTCTGGTTCCCTTGTCCCCCCCAGCCTTTGGGACTCTGCAAAATAATTAAATATTTCTGTCACCTTCTTCCTCCAGACACTTAAGAGTTTCAGCCCCCCTCACTCAGTCACCATTCTCTGACTGTTCTGTGTTCTCCAGTGTTTAGTTACACTGTCTCTTCTGTGAGCTCTTTCCCCCTTCCAGTCTCTGGTGGCACTAAAGATATGGTTATTTTGCCCCACCAATCATATTGCAGCTGCATTTTCTTCAGGACATATAGCGGTCACCTTCACTTGCGTTAATAAGAGCACTGCTCTCGCTCTCCGGCTTCCCCTATGCAGCCAAACTGCCTCACACTGTCCACAAGAATTATTAAAATGTGTATAACATGAAGAGAATTGGAAGGGATAGAGAGATTGTTAGGAGTAGGTTTTCCGCCAGCCTGGTCACACTGCCATGCCTGCCCCAAATAATACACAGAGACTCTGTATTTGATGTAATGCTGTAAGTCAGTTACTAGTTTCTTTATCGGCTACCTCTGTCTTAAATATTAACCCATTTCTATTAATCTAAGTCTCATCTTACCGGAGAGAGGGACCGGCACCCTGTTCTCTCCGGTCTCTACATGTTGACTCCTCCCTACTACTTCCTCGAATCCTCCATGTCTCCTAGTCCCGCCTATCTTGCTTTCCTATTGGCCAACAGTGCTTTATTCATTAACCAGTATGAGAAACATATTCAAAGAATGACATCTCCCATCAATGGTTAAGAGCATTGCATGCTCTTCCAGAGGACTGCAGTTCGATTCTGGCAAACACATGACAGGTCACAACCGTCCATAACTATAGTCCCATGGGATCCAATGACAGTTGTACATGCAGACAAAACATCCAGATCTATGTATACACAAATAAATAAATAATGGATAGATATTTAAAAAGAAGAGACTTGGTACCAGGGTAGTGTAGAGTTAAATATATAACCTTATGTGGTGGGACAGCATCTAGGTGTATCTAAGAATAAAGCAAAAAAAAAAAAAAAATGGTTCCTCAATTAAATTCATCAACAAAGTTTGGACTTTATGAGTGAGGATCAAATGCCAACACTGTCATTTCTTGTATTACTGTGTCTGATATCTAATGTGCTAGTGTTGGTTGGAGGATGTTGAGCTTTCATTGAAGTGGATTCTGGCGATAACTTCCCCTCCCAAGATTTATGTACATAGGATTTATTTAATCCCTTGCATGCAACCCCACTCCTTGTTGTATTTCATTTCTCAGTTATTTTTGTCTTGCTCTGTCTTCTGGGAAGTATGTGGGGTTGGGTAGGATCATTTCACAAGCCTATCTGGAATCCTACATAATAGATTTCTTCTATTTTGAAAATTGTACTAAGCCAAAGAAAGATTTGTCTATAGAAATGAATAAAGCACAAAGTTTTTCCTATATTTCTGGTTCTATGACTTCTACTTCCAGGCAGTATTTATTCTTAAAGAAATTTATCTATTTGCTTAGCAAAATCATACTGTAACTGCCTTACAGTTTTGTTTTCTTAACATTTAGAAAGGAATAAAGTCAAAGAACATGAATTTTCTCCACAAAGTTGTTTAGGTTCAGTTGACATTTTAATGTGGGTTGAGTTGGAACTTCAGTGCCACACACATTTCTACAGCTGACTTGTAGCCTCTCACTGGTGTAGCACATTTCCCACCACAGGATTCTACCATGGCCACATGTTGACATGAACCTGATGTCGAAACTGCATGTTATCTCCTAGGCTGATTCTATGAGGTCATGGAGACCCACAGTATTGATAGTGTATCTCTGAAAGACAGATAGCAAAGGACAGCTGATAGCAGCAGTAAGGGGAACACTGTGTGATGTAAATGTTTTTAACCCAGTTATTATTGAACTTATTAACATCTTTCTCCTCTCCTCCCTCCCCTCCCCTTATCTTTCTTCTCTCTAGTGTCACTTAGGCAATAAAACACAAAAGGGAGTTAAATGACAAAATGTCTGTGACCACAGGGATCTAGTTAAAAAAATGTAGTATTTTCCTTGAGCAGGGTTCCTGCGAACACAACTTGCTGTTTTCCCATTCCTTCCTATTCCCTCCACCCTCCCCTCCCCTCATCCCACCCCAACCCTCTGCTCCTCAGTAAGGGTAAGGCCTCCCATGGGAAGTCAAGTCTTTCCCATCACCACTTTGAGGCAGGACCCTGTGTCTAGTCTAAGCAAAGCATCTCTCCATAGGAAAATGAATATTTTCCCATTCTCAATGTAGACATGCTTTCCCATGTTGATCTCCACTCTGGTTTCTTGACTTAAGCTCAACACCCTCATGGCTGCTTCTCCTGTCTTGTAGGCATGATTGCTAACTCTCAGGTCCTTTGTTTTTTGGTTTTTTATTTTTTGTTTGTTTGTTTGTTTTGTTTTGTTTTTGTGCCATGTGGTGGGCCATCTCCCACAATCCTCCCCACCACTGTTCTAAAGAACCACCCAGCCCAGCGCAGGCCCACACATGCACCTCACCCCACTTCCTCCCAGTCCAGCCCCACACATGCGCCTCATCCCCCTCACACAGCTTCTGCCTGCTGGAAGTCAGGTCAGTATTCGTGCAGAGCGTGCACCTCACCAACTGAGTCCTCTCCCAGGCCCTCACTTCATTTTTTTTAATTCGTAAAATCATAGGATGTTTATGGAAGAATCTAAAGAACAGTGAACTAAAAACTTAAATGCCTAACACATAGCATGTCATGTAAACACAGGATACCTGTTAAGTATTGTCAACTTAACAGGATATGAAATCACCTAGGAGACCAACTTTCAGGCACACTTATGAGGATTATCCTATTTAGAAAAGTTTCTGTCCATACCTATGTGAGATGTTAATTGGATTTACTGAGGAGGCCAAACCCATTCTAACCTAGGGTGGAACTGTGCCCTAAGCTTGAGTCCCATAATGCGTACAAAGGAGAGGCAAGCTAAGATGCGGCATTCGGCACTCATCTCTCTCTGCTCCCTGACTTTGGAGGCAGGGTGACCACTGCTTCAAGCTACTACCTTGATCTCCCTGCCCTGTAGATCTGTGCCCTGAATCCCTGAGCCTCGGTAACCTCTCTGCTTCTTATGGTGCTTCTGTTGCTGGGTACTGGCCTCCATTTCCTACCATAGCAAGATGTTTTTTCTTAATAACCTGTTTGTTGATGACTGTAGCAGGATAGCATGAGGCTTCCCAGAGTGCCCTGGTGTTTGGGTGGTTGTTTTCAGACACAAGCAGTGCTTGTCTTTGCTAGGCTTTTAGGGGGCTTTGTTTTTGTTCTAATCAAAGTGACTTTGGCCTGCCGCCCAACCATCTAATCAACCCGTTCTCTGTGTGGCTGTGTCCCTCTTAGGTGCTGTGGTCTTTAGAATTGGGTCACTGGATTTCTGAGGAGCCTTTTGAACTCTCGGAGTCCTTCCCCGCTGCTCCGGTAAGTCAGCACTGCCTGGCGGTGGTAAATGCAATGTGGGGCTCTGGGAAAACTGCTGCAAGCATGAACTTCATGTCTTCGGTTAAGTGTGGGCTCACTCAGACTAAAAGGATTTCGCCCTAGAAATGAATGCCTTCTATTCATCAACTTGTGAGATCACATGTGACAACTTGAAATACTTGTAAAGTCAATGAGAAATGTCACCTTGAGAAGTTTTGCTTAAGCCAGGCAGTACAGCATTCTGGAAACTAAACTGAGTAGATTGCTGAAAGTTTGAGGCTAACCTGAGCTATAGGGTGAGACCTTTTCTCAAAAAAATTAATAAACAATAATTATTATTATAATTATGAAAGCCTGTAGAGCTGTAGAAAACAGAAATATTAACAAGAAAGGACAACTCTTAAAAGTAATGCTAATACAGATAAAATTGATAGGTATAAAAATCATGGCCTGGCAGCATTGTGATGTGATATTTATATTTTAATGTTTGTCCTACCTAATCTCCACCTTTAAGGACTCTTAGGTATTTTAAATATTTACTGATTAAATTCTGACTTCTCAGATAATTAATGTCTGACTGGAAACAGGGTTCTACAGAAGTTGGCTGTCATTTCCAAACATGTTGTCTGGTTTGGGACAGTTTATTGTTTGAAAAGATGAGTCTCTGAAAGGCAGTGACCGTTCTGGCTGTCCCTGGTGTTCTTACATAGCTATCCAAGTGGCCCTGTGCCGGGGCCCCAGCAGGAAGCTGAACTATGCCCTCTAATCGCTCAGTCATCTAGCTCGTTGCATTGTTTTGTTTTCATTTTTAAAATTACTGTTTTGATTTCCTTTCAACTTTGTAAATGTTTTCTTAAGGACAGAAAAAAAAAATTCTTCTCAGTAAGTTTGTTTGTTTAAAATACTGTGTAAGGAGCTGAAGTTTAAAGTGGAGACCTGAATCCCTCCCATTCTCTGACCTAACAGAGTGTATGTAATTCTGAGTTGCACAGGAGGTTTTCCTTTGAAATTCATCTTCCTGTGCTCATGAAGGACTGCTGGCTTCCTGGGCGATCATTCTCCTATCTCTGTTCCTGTCATTGTGGTCATTAAAGAAACTTACTGCTTTTTGAAGCTGAGGGATGTTTCTTGGTGTCAGATGTTCTAACTAGGTACAGAGCCATGTGGGCCCATCGATGTCCCCTAAATGTTATAGTAAAAACAGCTGTCAGAAAGCAGGGCCCAAGCTCTCTACTCTGGAATTCATGGTACGAAGGGAAGCATGGCAGAAGACAAGGGTGGCTTGGCCACCTGAGTCTGCATATTGACCAGAGCACACAGCAGTGTGTGAAGGTTTCTAACACCAAGGCTATGTGAAAGAAAATGGGTCACAGCAGTGGTTCTCAACTGGTGGGTTGCAACCCCTTGCGGATTATCATATCAGATCTCCTGCCTATCCGATATTTCCATTATAATTCATAACTGTAGCAAAATTACAGTTGTGAAGTAGCAATGAAATAATTTTAGGTTGGGGCATCGTCACCAAAATATAAAAACTGCTTTAGGAATGTTAGAGAAATAAAACAAATCCAACATCTGGGTGTAAAAAGGGACAGATGGATGGGTAAGGAAGGCTGCATGAGAAGCTGCTTCTAATTCTTTTGTACAGGTGTTCATTGATAGAGCTGGCTCTCAGTAAGCTCCCAAGACGTTAGAACAGGGAGAATTAAGGTTTAACAGTCCTAAGCATAAAGCTGTGTTCTTAAACTTTTTCTAGAAGCATCTGGTGATAACTATGTACAGGGCATTTTGCCTTTACATTCTAAAACACTTGAACAGTTTGCTAGTGAAGATAAAATGTTACTGAGGCCAATTACTTTTCTATAAATTAATTCAGAGAATTACTGCTTTGTAGATGTCATAAGTAGGATGGTTATCCTCTATCTCAAATCAAGTTTTATTTTCATTTTGTAAAGCGTGTCTTACTCAACTAGGGAACAGTCCTTTGGAAAGAAACACTAACTCAGTGGTGAAGCCTCTTCAACATGAATCAGCGTTTTCTTCATTAAAAACAACTGTCCTTGTCATGAGATACAGGGTTTTTTGTACATGACCAAAGAACAAACTTGTAAATGTTACCGTAAAAATTAAGCATTATCACCTCAACTAATAAGTTATATTTAATTACTAAAAATACCTTCATATTTAACAGCCAGGCAGGAAACAAAATAGTACAGTCTCCACATATACCAATGTGGCACCGCTTGCTGGTTATTCCAGAGTTGTGGGCATATTCACCATACAGGAAATAGTATCCAGCCATTAAACAACTAAGCCGTCGAGATAGGTAAATGTGTTGTTTTCAAATGAAACTGTAAAGCACCTAAGAGGAAAACAATGCACTGTGCTCCTCCAGATATTAGCGTGTAACCACCTCTTAGAAAATCCCCCAGTACTGGCCGATGTGGTGAGTGAGTCTTGCCATTGGTGATGGCCATGTTTATATACTCTGTAAACCCTGCTCAGGGGACTGTGTTTCCAAGATCACCTTCTCTGTCTAAGTGTTCTGATTTCCAGTTATTGACTGATGAACTCTGACTCGACGCTCTCCCTTGTGGCAGAGTCTGCATGCTGTCCCTCTGACCTCTGATTCTCAGCTTCAGTGTCACCTTCCCACAGTGCCTTTGGGTTTCCTTGGGTTGGTTACTGGTGCTGGCTTAAGTGATGCGCTTCTGTCTGGCACACAGAGTTCCTCCCCACCCCCAGGAGCACCTCCTGACAGGGAAAGGGGCTGCTGCTGTGCATTGGTGTCTCTCAGTGCTTTGGGTTAATCTTTGGACACAGCAAGGTCTTCTGGTAGCATAGGAGGCATTTAGAAATCTGCTGGCCGGATCATCATGGTTGTGGCCTTGAGCGAGTAGCCGGACCCCTTCCAGTAGTACCACTTGATCCCATTGAACTTATTTGTATTCTGCTTTTGTGGGTAGTACTGTCCATTCAAGTTGGAAGGACCACACGCATCAAACCACCAGCCTGTGAAAGTGAAAGACAGAGGGAGTAAGAAGTAGGTAGTGGCACCTGTGTCAGCACGAAGAGGCAGGCTCAGGTGTGCGAGTCAGTTCCCAGCTCAAAGAAGGTGCACACACACCCTCACAGTGTGGGAAGAGCCACTTTGGTTTGTTGCTCCCCAGACACACACCTGTGCAGTCACAGTTCCATTGTGGTGTGTGCTCTCACACACTTTCTGTTCCTTTTGTGCAGAGTCCTTGCAACATGGAAAAACGTGGGTCGGTGCTGTGTGAAAAGCCTGTCGTGCATTGTTGCATTGTGGGGTGAATATATGTATGTAGGAGTCCTGACCAGGTCAGGGCAGATGATTACCACCCTCAGACTGTTTTGGCTGGAATAGAAACCGTGTGCCTAGTGCTCCATGGAGCTAGGAAAAAAGAAACTTTAAGGCTATAAGGTAGAACACTAAGGGAGAGTCAGTAGCAAAGACCTTCCTCATGGGTAGCTCTGGAGCCCACAAATAGGAGCATGGAGGGTGGTAGATTTGCCATATGAGTTCTGATCTGAATTCATCTCTAAGCCTCATCTGGGGAAGACTGATTATATGAGATTGTATGATAGCATTTATGTTTGTTTTTAAATACAGAAAACAAGAGTTGTTGGTAAAGAATGTGAGTGAAATACCAATTCAGAGGCGACCACCTCAGGGCAAGAGGGATATACACAGTAAGGCATCTTCTCTAAAAAAATGTTTCCTGCCATGGAGTGCCGCTGTCTTCCTGGCTACTGCTGCCTGGAGACCCTCCTAGCTGGCACCTGTGATACGTGAGGGTGTATAAGAAGATCCTGTGTTGTGCAAAACTTGGGTCAGTAACAGATCTGCCTTAAACTCCAGGCAGGGACCTTCTATGTTACTGTGCCTGCACACATCTCCCTCCTCCATAGGCCAGCTTCCCCATGGGCCCTCACATGGCTTGGAACATGGCCTCCTTCAGCCTAGACCTCCCTAGTCCTTCCCTGGCTGCTTGCCTCTCCCCCAAGCCCCAACCTCTCCCAGCTCCATTCTCAGCCCCTAAATCTTGAACTAGGTAAATAAATGGATGTGTCCTTGATTATGAAGCTGCTCTCCTGCTCTCTGGGGTAGCAGCACACGGGTGGTCTGGAAACAGCCAGCCCCTCCAGAGAGGTCTTAGTGTGGGAATGGCAGGCAAGACTTGGGGTTAGGTGTGTTGCAACCCCAGAACCCACCCCCCATTGTTATTTGACTTTAAAGAGTATTGTTACACAGAGATGAGAGGTTCTAGCCCCCTTTACAAAATCTTTCCTTTGAATAATTACAAGTAATGGGGGCAACTCATGCCACCAAGTGGCCACTCTGTTCTCCCTGAAACTCCGGTATCTACTATAAAGTGGGTCCTACTTCTTCCATGAAATTTCAAGTTCTGAATTTCATTTCTGTTTTGTCAATAAACCCTCTTATTACTGTTGATGCAAGGATTCTTGACAGAGGGGTACATGTGGTTCAAGCTCAGATCTCTTACTTGTCTTAGCAGTAACTTACATTTTTATTTAATTACATTTTATTTATTTATGGTGGGGTCATGCTGCAGCACAGGTGTGGAGACCAGAGAACAGCTTGAGCTAATCAGTTCTCGACTTCCACCCAAGGGATCCAGGGATCAAACTCAGGTTGTAAGGCTGGACAGCAAGCACCTTTACCACTGAACCATTTTCCAGGCCTGAGCTAGGGGCTCTTACCAAACTTGGAACTCAGGGCTTCAGCTAGACTGACAGGCAAGCAAGCCCCAGCACTGGGGTTGAAGGAGCTCATCACATACTTAGCTTTCCCAGGGGTCCTGGAGGCCTGAGTGCCAGTCTTCGTGTTTATGTGTCAGGACCCTTTCCCACTGAGCTGTCTCCCCTGCCCACTCAGTGTTGTAATCATCCGATACGTATAAGAATCATGATGAGAGACAGCTGAAAAGTCTTGACTGGATATTAAATTAAGCAGAAATGAAGTAAGATGGAGCTAGATTGTTTCCTTTCATCTGGTCAATAAGCACCACCTCAGAGCTTGCTGGATCTCACATATCCACTTAATTTACCTGGGCTCACTCTAGAGGACACACTGTTGGCCTAGTGACAATTCAAGCTCCATGTCATGTTCTCCTGTCATACTTGGGCCAAAAGGAGGAGAAACCAATATACTGGTATCCAGCTAGTATGTCTTCCCATGAAAGTAAGGCCACTGTCCCCATGCCAGCCTGAGCTCCATGCTGCCAGCCTTCCAGGCTACGAAGTTGCTCCTTGCCAACACAAATAGGAACTGAGTCGCCCTACCTCCCGTGAGCATCTGGGAGCACTTGCAGATGCATTTGTCGTTGTCTGAATCCTTTGTGCTAAAATCACTTCCTGGTTGGCTGATGCTGCTTATTTTGCCCGCGGTGCCTGTAAGTCCTGTAAGGTGAATCCTGGAACATGCAAAGGAAAAAATAAGAGCTGTAACTGGCTGGGGTTGTTGATTCACCGTAGTGGAAAATTTCTCATGGTGAAGAATTCCATTCTACAGATCGCACCGGGGCTGGCTAGTGCACTCCAGTGCCTGCTCAGTACAAAATATTTTGCACTGGTATAAACAGGAACCAACTTATCATCAAACCCTCCGACAAAGAGAGATGTTTTCATGACAACTTCAACACATATTGCCTGTACCAGCATCAGGGGGTTGGCGGGGCTTTGTAATTCATTTTCCTATTGCCTCCAGATAAACAAAAGGGG